ATGCTTGTATCTTGAGGACAAGTTCTAAGATGTCAGAGGAACCACCAGAAAGTTGTGGGTATTAATCAGAAAATACTGCTTGGATGTGAATTTAAAGCCACAAAAAGTCTCTATTAGTTGGCGTGTGACTGTATTGCATGCTCAGGATCTAAGTCTAGCACTGAGACTCCTCAGAATGAGGTTGTAAGCACAAAATAATCATCTTGGTTGACATATTTTCATTTAAAAAGACAAGCTAGCAAGAAGTAGAACTACAGAAGTCAAAAGCAAGTTAGTATCTTTAGAGACTCTTCCAGGACTATGGACTTAATGGATACAGTCTTTGTTTTCATTCAGGCAGGTGGAGTTATATAGTTGTTGAGTTTGACAATCTGAATGGCACTTCTGTAATGGAATCATTTCCACTAAAATCTGGAGGATACTAAGTTCTGGAATCCAGTTAGACTAGGAGTACCCTAGAAGTTAGTAAGGATGTAGCTTCCAGTCAAATACCAGCTTGATATGTCCATGAATCACCTACATATTGTTTTTACTAATACCATCTTTCCATCAAGTTCTAGAACAAAGAACATATTTCAAAAATAATTTAAATTAAACATTTTATTAATACTTGGAAATTTTGAATAAATATGTCTCAGTCTTATTAATACTTGTCTCTTCCAAACAAATCCTCCATTTTCACAAATTCACCAACTCTCATGTCTTCTTTCTTAATTTGAAGAGAGTATCTTGCAACAGTTGCCATCATCCTCTGGCTAAAGACAATCTTTTGATTCCTCTTCCACAGTTTTCTGATCTTTAAGTGGACAGACTTTATTGTATTTGTGTAAATTGGAGATAGACACCCTGGCTTTGATTAATTCCAATCTTTTTATCAGTTAGGGCATCTTGTATTGAACTTTTTCTGCTACATAAAAAGTATCCTTAAACAGGAGCAGAGCTATATTTATCTGTGGGTATGAGGTTAATTTTAGTTTAAATTTAAAGATTTACTAGTTTAGAAAACTGGCAACGGAAGGTTCTCCTCCAAAATTCATAGTTCCTTCTACAGGTATTTTTCTAAATGTACAGGTACAGTCACAGACATGGCTTCTTTCCTATCCCAACATGACTTAATTCCAGTTAGGTAACAGTGAATTATCCAAGGCTATAAGTTTCATGATTATACCTTTCAGAATTATTTCGCGTTCAGTTTAAATGTGTTGTGATTTATTTCCCTTAAAAATGAATAGACTTTACTCCATTGTGGAACTGGTATGAATTCTGTAAGTGTCAGGGCCAGGCAAATTTAGGAAGGCTTCCTGGTAAATCCAGATTGATCCTTTCATATAATTTCTAACGTGTGTGTCATCTTCAGCAATGGTATGTTACCTCTTTTACTGGAAGGCATGCATGGCATGGGTAGTAGCCTATATCTTAAAGGGAGGTCTCTACACATTCTCTAAGACAAAATTTCAAAATGGATTACATGCCTGACATTAGGTTTGTTTGATTCTTTATACTTTTATGATATTTGGATGAAACCTTCTTTTATATTTTGAGACTTTGACATTAAAATGAGAAATCTCAGAGGGCAAAAATGTTTCAGGTACATATGTGATTACATGAATTCAAACCCCCAGAAAGTTTATTAGTACACAACTGTAACCTAGAAATAATGTGGAGGAGAGAAGTCGGATACACAAGAATTCTTTGAAATAGTAAACAGAGAATATCCATGCATATGCTATGGAAATGATACAGAATTTTTGGAAGGAAAAGTAAAGCCAGAACTGAATGTGGAGGTTTCCTTCTGTCTTGCACTCATAACATTTAATATTCAAATATTTTAACGGACAGTGCCACACACACAGTGAAACACACACACAGTAACACACACACACAAACACACATGATACACAAGTAACATAAAATCACATAGGGAAAATATTGTCAAATATTAAGAACCAAAGTCACCCAGTGATATTCTTTCATTAAAATATTACCTTGTAATGCAGATTAATTTAATTAAGGAATATTTAATTTCCTCTAAATGTAGAAAGCAAAAAGGAAGAGCAATGCAACAGGAAATGTGTTACTTTATGAGATTGTTTTCTTTATTTTCAAAGTCTGATGGGGGAAGTCCTTCAGTGTATATGTAAATAACGCACTATTGGCCAATAGGGAAGCAAGATAGGTGGAACTGGGTATCAAGGAGGATTCTGGGAGGAGAAAGTCACAGTGCAGGAGAAGTAAGAGGTCTGAACTCCTTTATACCGTAAGAGAAGACCACATGGGAATACTCAAATCAGCAGTTATGGGTTAATAATTAAGTCAGAGTTAGCCAAATGAGAAATAAGCAATGGCCAACAGCTTCATAATATAGTGTTCTGTGTGTTCATTTGGGACTTTTCTGCTCTGGGACCAGGCTGGCAGAAAAAAAGGAACGTTACACAATGGCTCCCAGCATTGCTTTCAAGAATTTCCTTGCATATCTAACAAAAGTTTAAAGAGTATTTTAGAAACAAAAGGACAGTAACAAGCACGGCTTCTTGGTAGCAGCATGTTCTCAGGTGGGCTCTGTTTTGCTAGAGACAAGCAAAGACTTGCATGATCAGTGCTGGTGGTAAACTTATGGCTGCCTTCTTGGAAAGACAGCAGTTAAAACAGCCACAGTTGTTAGCAGATAACAGACATATGGCCAAAAACACATACAGATTTATAGTAAAGTCAGATTCAGATGACGTAAAACTTTTAAAAGGTTTACAGTGTGTTTAAGAATATACATACATAGGCTTGAGAGAGGAAATGTAACAGGACCATGGCTGGGCTGTGGTAGCAGACACTCCTTTAATCCCAGTACTCCAGAGGAAGGTGGATTTCCACAGAGAAACCCTGTCTCAGAGATAAAATAAATAAATACATGTAAAAGAAATAGAGTAATAAAAAAGCAATGTAAAGATGAAAAGTACAAAGAGAGTCTAGATACTTTATACTATTGTGTTGCTTTTGAATTGTTTGACTTCTAAGGAAATAGTAACAACTACTAAAACAAATGCTACTAAATTAATCCAGCTTATATATTTTGAAAATGCTTTGACTTCTAAATTTAAATATAAGGACAGGTTAGTTAGGAAATAGTTTTTGTGTTTGAAAAGAAAATGAGAGCTGCGGATTTCTTCCAGACTTCTATGGTTTCATGAAGTAAAATCCTCCTGAAGCAGTGTCTCCCACAGTCCAAAATCTGAAACAGTTGGGACAATACAACCATATACTTCATAAAAACAAAGACTTAGCCTGGTTTCTGTGTTTTGTCATAATCCCCATGGTAAGGACAGTGCCTCCAACTAGCAGGAAACATTTTGGAATGAATGACACACAAATTCACAAATATTGTTTATAAATTATTGTTTCCATTTAAATGGGGTTGCCTATAAATGGTTAATGATCACAACCAATCTCTTTTTAAGGTAGCAGGTTGATTATAATACAGAAATTAGTACTTTGCATTAGAATAGATTTTCATTTATTAATACAAATTTACAGTCAATTTTGTGATATGTACATTTCTCCTCTTGTTTAAGTGTTGTGTTTATACTGGCCTTTTAAAATGTAATGCATAATTAAATACAGATTGTATATAGTCACCTATAATAGTTAGAGCTTATAGTTATGTTTTCTAGATATACAGAGATGTACTTGAGATGAGTAGATATGCTTCAAACCTTTCAAAGACCTAGAGAATATGTGGTTTTTAAACAGTTTAGTGTTTTTCATGATAGTGAGACACCAGTACTATTGGTACAGCAATTATAACTGAGAGGATGATGGACATTGAAGAATTTTATTAAGGAGTTTGCTTTCAACCTGGCAAGTTTTGCCAATTGGGCATGAAACTGCTCTTACCTGGACTGTTTGACTGTTGCTCTATGAGCTGGACATAAAGCACCCACAGGAAAGTGACTTCTGATCCTGGACAGTAGCACATGTCTCCTGACTCATGACAGAGAATGACAGACATTTTGCAGGAAACAGAGAAATGACTGAGAAAATGCCAATGCAGATGGACAGTTTAAAATTTGTTGCTTTGCTGAGAAATCTCACAGATACACGGTGGTCTATGGGCTGAAAACAGATGCGCCAATATTACAGAGTAACTTCAGGTGACTATCCAAGTATCGACATGTCTCTGTCAATTTTAGTGATTATATATTATCTTTCTATGGTCTTTGATGGAGTTGAGGACAGATAGTAATAATCTTAGTTAGGATCAAAGATAAGTTATATATAAGACATTAAACTCACAAAGATTCGATAGATATTTTCTTTAAATCTTGCTAAATATTAATGAACTACATATTGCATTTGTAGATCTTGCTTATATATTGTACTCTATTAAAGTGAAAAAAATTTTATTCATACAGATAATAGAAGACGAAGGGGGAAGTCGTTCTTTGTATACATAAATAAAACACTGTTGGCCAATGGGGAAGTAAGTTGGGTGGGAGTAGAAATCAAGGAGGATTCTGGGAAATATAGTCAAAAAGCGACAGTCTCTATGTAAGAAGTGAGAGAAGAGGTCTGGACTCTTTTCTCTGGTAAGAGAACACCATGTAGCTATACTCAGATCAGCAGTTTTGGGTTAATAATTATGTCAGTGCTAGTCACATGAGAAATATAATTAATATAGCATCCTGTGTGTTCATTTGGGCCTGACGTGGCTCTGGGACCAGACTGGCAAAAGGAATGCACCTTACAATGGTCAAAACCTTCATAGTGGTTAAATACAAATGAAAATAAAGTGAGCTGTCATGGAACTTTCAATGTGAGAATACTAACTATAGGATTTTATTTAATTCTAACAAGGTACCCTAATTCATTGAATTCCAGTATTTATGTGAGAAAGTATAAATGTGGACTGTACATAAACACTAATATTTAAACTTGAAAAAAACATTGGTTTGAGCTGCAGATTTGAGTGATCTATGACATTCTCTAGTGTAAGTTTATTTTATTTATTCAGGTATAATTTTAAAAACTACCAGTTCATCTTAGCCCTGGTATTTGCCATAGAGGAGATCAACAGGAATCCCCATCTTTTGCCAAACATATCTCTGGGATTTGATTTTTATAATGTCCCTTATGGTGAGAAAGACGTTCTTGGAAATGCCCTGATTTGGTTCACAGGCATGCATTATCCATACACTAACTATAACTGTGTAAAGGAGAGGAAGTCAGCTGCAGCACTAACAGGACCATCATGGACAAAATCTGCTCATATTGCAACACTTCTTCAACTCTACAAATTCCCACAGGTGAGGCATCATATTTGAGTTACAGGCAGAACACTTTGCTGACAATTCAGAGGTTAGCTAAGTAAAAATGAGACACATGGATTACTTAGCTATCTGTGAGAAGTGTCTAGACCATTGGAGATGGATGCATAATTCAGTCACTATGAAAAGAAAGAATCGAATGGTTGGAAGAGACAAAGAGGATTGTGTAAAATGGAAGACAATTCATTAATTCACCAGAAATTCTGTCAGAGAGATTTCCCACTAAAATCATGATAAACCAAACTCCAGAATGATCACTTCCTTTTGAAGGGCATTGGGTGTGATGCCATTGTTTGAATCTTTGAATTAGTTGAGGACATATAGTTATCTTTGGGATTTGATTTTTATTATGTCCCAGACGGTGAGAAAAACATTCTGGGGAAACCTTTCATTTGGATCACAGGCCGCTTTAAACCATTCTCTAACTATATGTGTGTAAGGGAGAAAATTTCACCTGCTACACTAAAGGACCACCATGGGGAAGTCTGCCCATATTGGGATACTGCTTCAACGGTACAAATTCCCACAGGTGAGATAAAATATTTAAGTTATAGTCAGATCTCCATGCTGAAAGTTCAGAGTTATGCTAAGGTAAAAAAAGAGACATATGGATTGCTTAGCTATCTGTGGCAAATGTCTTCACAAATGGAGATTGGTCCATATTTTAGTCACTAAGAAAAGAAGAAAGGGAATAATGGAGGATAGAATGAGGATGAATTAAAAATAGAGAGGAATTTAGTAATTCAGTGGAGATTCTGTCACCGATATTTACCATTGAATTTGGGATGAACCAATCATCATGCTGATCATTTCCTTCTGTTCCTTTAGAATGGGCATTGTGTGTGATGCATTATTTTGACTCTTGTTCCTAACTGATTTCTCTTCAGCTTACCATTGGTCCATTTGATCCTATCTTGAGTGATCGAACTCAGTTTAATTCTCTTTATCAGATGGCCCACAAAGGCTCATCCCTGTCTCTTGCCATGGTCTCTTTAATGGATCATTTTGACTGGAACTGGGTTGGTCTGCTTCTTCCAGATGACCACAGAGGGACTGAGTTTCTGTCAGATTTCAGAAAAAATGTGGAGAAAACTGCAGTCTGTATAGCTTTTGTCGAAATGATCTCAAGCACATGGACTTCATTTTCCTACAGATTCTGGGGAAATTTAGGGAAGATCCAGGAATCATTGGCCAATGTCATCATCATTTTTGGGGACAGTGATTCACTACAAGGTTTGATGTTGAACCTAGGAAAACAAGTTTTGACATGGAAAGTGTGGGTTATGAGTTCTCAATGGGATGTTACCGACCATGATGATTATTTCTTGCTAGATTCATTCCATGGAAGTCTCATCTTTTCACTTCAACATGAGGAGATTGTGGAGTTTCCAAATTTTATCAAAACAGTTAATCCTTTTAATTACCCAGAAGACAATTACCTTCCTAAGTTATGGTTTTTGTTCTTCGAATGTTCATTTTCAGAGCTTAATTGTCAACTTTTGGAGAGATGTCAACCAAATGCTTCCTTGGAATTCCTGCCTAGACACATTTTTGATATGTCAATGAGTGAAGAGAGTTATAATACATACAAGGCTGTATATATTGTTGCCCACAGTCTCCATGAGATGAGTCTTCAACAAGTGCAAATGCAACCATTTAAAAATGGGAATGAAATGATGTTCTTTCCCTGGCAGGTAACCCCCAATCAATTGTATTATTGTTTGGGGAGATGTGACATTCTTGAAGAATTTGAAAATTCCCCATATTAGGTATTGCATATTTGAGCATTGTAATAAAAATCTAAGGAGAATCTTAATTTGTTATCTTATCTTGCAAGGAAATGCAGCTTTTTGTGTGCAAGTTGCTGTGGAATGGGATGGTAGTAGCAAATAGAAAATAATGTTAAGAATATTTAAATTGTGTCACAAATAGCCTTACAACATTCTCATCTTGTGAGATTTCATTAGAAAAATAAACATTCTCTCACTAACTGAACCAATGATGGCTCATTAGTACAAGGTACTAGTACATAAATGACTTATTTTCACTATTTAGTCATCAGTGTCCACCGTTTATTCATGGAACTTTGGGATCACCTATGCATGTAAGTAAAAGTGTATAACTTTTAAAAACAGGAAGTTGATATTTACTTCAATCAATACTCATTACTTCCTTTCCTGAGTTTATTCAGAAGAACATCTTGAGGTTGGATTTCTCTAGAGAGATAGAATGGCATCACCTTCACCCAGGAAACCCTTACTCATCCTCAGTGATACCTACATTAGAATGTTGACTGACACCAGAAATTATAAACAACAAGAATCACTCTGTTATCCATTTGTTGTCAACTGCTCACAACTACTTTAAAATATGTTCTTGCATCCCTTTCAGATTCACTCTTTCTTGAGGAATAATCTTGTCAGAAGCAACATGACTTTAGATTGGAAACAGGAGTTAGATGATAAGTATGACATTCTAAACTTTTGGAATTTTCCAAAGGGTCTTGGACTAAAAGTGAAAGTGGGAACATATTTACCCATTGCTCTCCAGGGTCAACAGTTATCTTTAGCAGAACAGTTGATACAATGGCCAAAAATATATTCAAAGGTGAGTTATGATTTATTTTGAAGGATTAAAATTGTTATATTAACACAGTATATCAGTAAGTAAAATGAAACCTGGTTTCTAATTCAAAACCCCATACTACAAAAGTACAAGTAGAGAAGAATGAAAAATCACTAGCAGTATTTTATTGTTCTCTGACTCCAAAAGATGATTTTTTAGGTTTAAATGTCTGATAATATTCAGTCATTCATGGGTTATTATTGACTGCTTGACACAAATTAGGTGTATCTGAGAAATGGGATGTTCAATCTCCATAGTTTGTCATAGGATAATGTGCTGGAGAAGTCTCTTAATTTACAATTTAATCCAGAAAACTATATAAAAATTACCTTTTCTTGCAATGAGCAAACAACTCATCAAACTGACTTTTGTAAAAAGAGTTTATTTTCAGTCATAATACTTGCCATACTATAGTCCTTTTTAGTCAGGAGAGATGGGAAGGATTCTGAAACAAGATGTGTCAATCAATACACTAGTAGTACAGAGAGAAAACTGGAATTGTGGTGAAGTTTATAAACGTTTAGAGATTCCCACGAGTGAAATAATTCTGCCATAAGACTGCAACTACTAAATTGTTCACAACTCTGTCTACAGTACCATTATTGGTGATACATGTAGTCGAATACCAGTATCTATATTTACCACTTTTCATTCGACCCAACACACAATGTCTATATTAGAATTCTATCTATATCATGGCCTTGACCCCTTTTTTCATCACTCCTCCATCTCTGAAACTAAATTCCAGGACTTTGGCTTTGTGCTTGGCTATGGATCTCTGTTTCTGCTTCAATCAGCTACTGGATGAAGGCTTTAGGATGGCATTTAAGGTAGCCATCATTTACATTAAAGGGGAAAGACATTTAAGGTAGCCTCTCAACTATTGCTTAGGGTACAGGTGGGAAAATTCATTTGGATCTCTGTATAATTACCTATATTTTTCTTTTAACCTTTAGTGAATCCCTCTATTGATGTGTCTCTTTTCATGCTCTCCTTTATTCCTCTCTGCACTTAATATTCCTGATCCCTCATATTCTACTCTCTCCTTCCTATTCTCCCCTCTGGCTTCTCCTACCTTATTCCACCTCCCTCCATACCCGCATTTGTTGTGGGGCTCTTGTCCATTTCTGCTTCAATGGGAGACCATTTATGTCTCCGTTATGGTCCTCCTTTATTCCCAGCTTCTCTGGATTATAGGCTAGTAATACTTTTCACCTGGTCTAGAAAACATACATGAGTGAGTACATACCATGTTTTGATTTTCTTAATATGCATGCTCTCTCTCTTCTTTAGGATAAAGACTTGTCTATATTGATTATTTTCTCAAGAATCAACTCTTTGTTTCATTGATTCTTTGTATTGTTTTCTTTTTTCTATATTTTTCCAGTTCAGCTCTCAGTTTGACTATTTCCTGGAATCTAATCCTCGTGGATGAGTTTGCTCCTTTGTGTTCTAGAGCTTCCAGGAGTCCTGTAAATTATCTAGTGTGGTTATTCTCCAGTTTATTCATGTGGTCACTTAATGCTATGAACTTTCCTCTTAGAATTGATTTCAGAGTGTCTCATAGGTGTGGTTATTTTGTGCCTTCATTTTCATTGAATTCCATGAAGTGATTGATTTCTTTTTTATTTCTTCCTCTTCCAGGAGTGATGCATTTGAGCATTGTTCAATTTCCATGAGTTTGTGGAGTTTCTGCAGTTTGTGTTGTTGTTGAATTCTAATTTTAAGCCATGGTGGTCTGATAAGATCCAGGGGGTTATTACAATTTTTTCGTATCTGTTGAGGCTTGATTTATTGACTAGTATGTGGTTGATTTTAGAGAATGTTCCATGCGGGGATGTGAAAAAATTATATTCTTTTGTGTTTAGATGGAATGTGTTATATATGTCTGTTAAATCCTATTGAGTCATAAATTCTTTTAGTTCCTTCATTTCTTTCTTAAGTCTCTGTCTCATAGTCCTGTCCAGTGGTGAGAGTTGGGTATTGAAGTCTCCTGATATAAGTGTGTGTGTGTGTGTGAGTGTGTGTGTGATTTAATGTGTGATTGGAGTTTTAGTAATATTTCATTTACCAATGTGAGGACCTTTATATTTGGTGCATAAATGTTCAGAATTTTTACTTCATGCTGATGGATGTTTCTGTGATGAATATGAAATGACCTTCTTCATGTCTTTTGATTAATTTAACTTTGAAGTCTAATTTGCTTTATATTAGGATGGCCATACCTGTTTGCTTCTTAGCTCCATTTGATTGGATATTATTTTCCCAACCCTTAATTCTGAGGTAACATCTGTCTTTGAAGGTAGGTGTTTTTCTTCGATGCAACTGAAGGATGGGTTCTGTCTTCATATTCACTCTCTTATGTTGTGTCCATTTATAGGTGAGATAAGATAATTGATATTGATGGATATTAATGACCATGGATTGTTGATTATTGTTTGCTTTGAATTTGTTTTTGGTGGTAGTATTATTGTGTGTGAGTCTTTCCCCAATTTCTGGCTTTTGTTAAGGTGAGATTATCTATTGCCTATGTTTGTGTGGGTGTACTTGACATCCTTGGATTGGGGTTTTCCTTTCAGAACTTTCTGTAAAGGTTGGATTTGTGCATATATATTGTGTAAATATGGATTTGTCATGGAATATTTTGCTTTCTGCAAATTTAGTGATTGAGAATTTTGCTGGCTATAGTATTCTGGGATGGAATCAGTCCTCTCTTAGTGTTTGTAGAACATGCATCCAGGACCTTCTGGCTTTCAGAGTTTCCATGAAGACAGGTATAATTCTGGTATATCTGCCTTTATATGTTACTTGTACAGTACCTTTGCTACTCTTAATATTCTCTTTATTCTGTATGTTTCCTTTTTTGATTATTTTGTTGTGAGGTAACTTTTTTTGGTCCAGTCTATTTGGTGTTCAGTAAGCTTCTTGTACTTTCATAGATATGTTCTCCTTCAGCTTGGGAAAGTTTTCTTTTATCATTTTGTTCAATTTGTTTTCTGCAACTTTAAGCTGGGCTTTTTCATCTTCTTATATACCTATAATGCTTAGGTTTGGTCTTTACACAGTGTCACATATTTCCTGGATAATTTGTGTTAAAATTTTTTTGTATTTAAGATTTTTGTTGTTCGATGAATCTATTTCCTTTAGTTTATCTTCAGCACCTGAGATTCTGTATTCTGTCTCTTGTATTCTGTTGGTTATGATTGCATCTGTAGTTTCTGTTCATTTATTCAGCTTTTCTATTTCCACCATTCCCTCAGTTTGTGTTTTCCTTATTGTCTCTGTTTCTGTTTTCAGGACTTGAACTGTTTGAATTGTCTCCTTCATTTGTTTGATTGTTTTTCTTGGCTTTCCATGCTGTCTTTATGAGATTCTTTTATTTCTTTGATTTTTGTTTGATTTTTCTTCCATTTCCCTAAGGGATTTTTCTCTTGTCTTCTTTGAGGGCCTCTATCATTTTCACGAGGTTGTTTTAATGTCATTCTCTTGTATTTTATCTGCGTTGGAATAATCCCTAGACTCTAGTGGTGTCATGTAAGTCTTTCTGTTGTTAGATGTGTTTTTATACAGTTGTACTCCAAGGTTCACAGCTGTCGACCACCTGTGATGGGCCTTGTTTGGTCCCATGGAGTCACTACAGTTGTAGATCTAGAGTAAATGAGTGTCCATGAGCTTGGATAAACTGCCTCTGTATATTTTTCCATTATGAATTACACCTCCATTTTCATATACACCTCTAACCTTCATCTTCTGGATTCCAAAAGCTTGTAAAATTTTTGGTTGTGGATTTCTGTGTCTGGATCCATCAGTTACTGAATGAGGAATCTATGATGATAGTTGATCTATTCATCAACCTGATTACAGAGTTAGGCCAATTTAGGAATCCTCTCTACTATTGCTAGTGGTTTTACTGGGGCCATCTCTCTGGATTCCTGGGTGATACACTAACACCAGTTTTCTCCCTAAACCCATTGTGGCTATCTCTGACAATATACTATTTCATTGCTCTTCACTCTATCCTTCCCTACCAGAGCCATCTCATTCCCTCATGTTCTCATCCTTCCTCCCCTACTACTTACCACCACAAGTTTTCTCTGTGTATATTATCTAATTTTCCTTGGCCGGGTATTTAGTGTATGTGTCCTTCAAAGGGTCTGCCTTGTTACAGAGCTTCTGTGGAGCTGAGAGTATTAGTCTGGTTATACTTTGCTTTCATTTAGTATCCACTTATGAATAAATACATGCCATGTTTGTCTTTTGGAATCTGGGTTACCTCACTCAGGAGGTTTTTTTTATAGTTCCATCCATTTGCCTGATAATTTCATGAGGTCATTATTTTATACCACTGAGTGGTACTCCATGGTGTAAATGAACCACATTTTCTTCGACCATTCTTTGGTTGAGGGGCATCCATGTGCCTGAAAATTTCATAAGGTCATCATCTTTTTACAGGTCAGTAGTAGTCACTTAAGAGAATGTACCACATTTTCCTTATCCATTCTTCATCACAGGGGCATCTGAGTTGATTCCTGATTCTGACTAATTTGAATATTGTTGCTATAAATGTTATTTAGAAAATGTCGTAATGCCATGATGGAGTGTCCTATGTTTAAATGCCCTAAAGTGGTACTGCTTGGTCTTGATCTAGGTTAATTACCAATTTTCATAGAAACTGCCATACAGATTTTTAAAATGACTTTAAAATTTTACACTCCCACAAGCAGTGGAGTGTTACACTGATTCCACATTCTTTCCAGTGTCGACTGTTATCAGTATGTTTAATCTTAGCCATATGAAAGGTATAAGATGGTATTCCCTGATAATTAAGGATGGTGAGCACTTCCCTATATGTCTTTTGGGCATTTGATATTTTTCTATTGAGTATTCTCTGTTATCTCTGTACCCTGCATTTAAATTGGTATATTTTTTTACTATATGATGTCTAGCTTCTTGAGTTCTTTATGAATTGTGCAGATCAAAATTCTGCCAAACACAAATATAGACAGGTAGACCAATGGAATTGAATTAAAAACCCTGATATTAACCCATACATGTATGAACACCTTATTTTCAACAAAGAAGCTAAAATATACAATGGAAAAAATAAACCATCTTAAACAAATTGTGCTGGCATAACTGGATGCTGGCATGTAGAAGAATGAGGATAGACCCATGTCTATCGCCATGTACAAAACTTAAATCCAAGTGGATCAAAGACCTCAACATAAATCCAGAAACACTGAACCTCTTAGAAGAGAAAGTGGGTGGCACCCTTGAAAAATTGATACAGGGGACAGCTTCCGGAAGATAACACCAGTAGGACAGACAGTGAGGTCAACGATTAATAAATGGTACCTCCTGAAACTGAAAGGCTTCTTTAAGGCAAAGGACACAGTCAGCAAGACAAAAAGGCAGCCCACATCTGACAGAGGGCTGATCTCCAAAATTTACTAAGAACTCAAGAAGCAAGTATCCAAAATACAAAGGGATCCAATTACAAAATGGGATACAGAAGTAAATAGAGAATTATCAATAGAGGACTCTAAAATGGCTAAGAGGCACTTGACAAAGTGCTCAACATCCCTAGCCATCAGGGAAATGCATATCAAAACAACTCTGAGATACCATCTTACTGCTGTCAGAATGGCTAAAATCAAAAACACCAAAAGCAAGACAGTTTAAGCTGGAGAGTTTGTGGTCAAAGGAGAACACTCCTCTGCTGCTGGTGGGAGTGCCAACTCGTACACCCACTTTGGGAATCAGTATGGAGTTTCCTCAGGAAAATGGGAATAAACTTAGCACAAGACCCAGAAACTCCACTCTTAGGTATATATCCAAAGTATTCACAATCATACAACAAGGTCATCTGTTCGACTATGTTCATAGCAGCATTATTTGTAATAGCCAGAATTTGAAGCAACCTAGATGCCCCTCAACCAAAGAGTGGATAGAGAAAATGTGGTATATTCACACAATGAAGTACTATACAGCAAAAAAAAAACCAATGGAATCCCAAAATTTGCAGGCAAATGGATGACACTAGAAGAAACCATCCTGAGCGAGGTAACCCAGTCACAAAAAGAGAAACATGGCATGTACTCTCTAATATTTGGATGTCAGACATATATCTGGGGAGTGCCAGTCTACAATCCCATGACAAGAGAATCTGCGAAACAGAACCTTCATTCAGTGGCTGATGGAAGCAGAGGCAGACTCCCCCAGCTAAACACTGAACTGAATTCAAGGAATCCAGTGACAGAGATGGAGGACTGCTGATAAAAGGGGTTAAGATTGGGCTGGTTTAATCAACTAACCTGACAAGGGATAGCTCTTGAATCCCAGACTGATGGCTGAGATTCCAACATGGGACTGATCAAGACCCCCTGAACGTGGGTTTCAGTGAGGAGGCCTAGGTAATCTATTGAGCTTTGGGTAGTAGAGTAGTGCTTATCCTTGGTATACAAATGGACTTTGGGTGCCCATCCAACAATGAGATGTGCACTCTCACCCTAGACTCACAGGGGAGTGTCTAGGCCCTTCCCTTGATGAAATGATAGAATATGGACACCCCCATGGATGGCCTCATCCTCCCTGGAAAAATAAAAATTAAAAAAATAAAAAATATTCTGCCAGATATGGATTGGGGAAGATCTTTTCCCATTCGTAGGCTGATTTTTTTTCTTGGTAATATCCTTTGCCTTATAGAAGCTTTTCGTTTTCAGGAGGTCCCATTTATTGATTATAGTGCTCAGTGTCTTTGCTACTGGTCTTATATTTAAGAGGTAGTCTCCTGTATCAATGTTTTCCAGCCCAATTTATCTTTTATCAGATTCAATGTGCCTGTATATACCTTGAGGCTCTTGACATAATTGGACTTGAGTTTTGTGCACGGCAATATATATAACTGCCTGTTAACATACAGTTATTCCAGCATCATTTGTGAAAGAGGTTTACCATTTTCGATTGTACAGTGTTGGCTTCTTTCTTAAATGTCAGGTATTCATAGGTGTGTAGTTTGATATAAAGGACTTTTACTCAATTCTATTAAATCACCTGTCTGTCTTGGTGACAAATCCAAGCTGATCTGATTATTATAGCTCTATAGTACACTTTGAAGCCTGTTTAGTTCTAACTTTAAACCATGGTAATAGCATATGACACAGTGGGTTATTCCAATTTTTCTGTATCTATTGAGATTTGCTTTGTAATTGAGTACATGGTCAATTTTGGAGAAGGTTCCATGGTGTGCAGTAGATGTCTGTGTCCTAAGCTGCAGCTCTCATTCCTCTCTCTGTTTCGTCTTTCTCAATTCTCTCTCTCTCAGTAGTATGTGCACTAGGTACCTGTGTCTCAGAGAGCTGTTGAACTCACTGTGCATGGGTGGGTTTGGGGAAAAGTGTATCTCATTGGAGAGCTGTTGGTCTAGCCTGCCTTCAGGAGTGTTTCCTGATGACATGGAAGTGTGGAAGACAGCTGTGGGCACTGGAGTCAGGTTTTTGCCCTGGGACTGAGGTCCTGGTGGATGTACGTACCCAGAGGGAAGTGGGTCCATCACTTCTCAGTCCTGTTTACAGTAGAATAGTTAATTTTTTAGTCCATGTTTTACAGTTTCAGTACATAATCAAATAACATTTCCTTTTTCTATGTATTTAAAGGGAAACTACTATATCGTACAGTTTCTATAAAGAAACAGTATATGTTTCTTTCAAGTCGTGACACAAATAAGTACATAGATAAAATAATCGAAAAAAGTATTTCTTTTACTGAAAGTGTTTAGATGCAGCACTTATCTTTGAAAATTTATTCCTTTGGAATCATGATGTTCCTAATGACACAATATTTAAACCAAAAAGAACCAAAATAGCATTTTTTACACTTTCCCATTCCTTCTGAGACAACTATCAATCAATAGTGACACTCACTTTTAGAGTGAAAACTTTAAATTTCTCTTTAATTTTACTGATAGAAATACCTGAAAATCGGCCTCCATGATGATTGTAAGTCCTGTCAAGGTAGTAAGTATGATTCACAATGATGGTGGACTTAAAAGTTTATCAGCACGTTATTCAGTACATAGAGACAGGAACTGTCTGAAAGGAGCAGTTGCCCTTCTAAGTCATGTTTTCATTGACATACCTGCTTCAAACTTGTCCCTACCTCATTATGCTCCAAAATCTCTAACACTGTAAAACTCTCAAATTAATCTTGTATAAGACATGGCCTTTTAAAATCCTTTCCTGCATTTGTAGTTATAAAGCTTTCAAATAAGTTATGTAATATACATATCCAGTATTATAAGGGTTTTCAATAAACACAGAGTATTTTTAACAGTGCTTCCCTTATTCTTAGATTCCCCGATCCGTATGTAGCAATAACTGTGCACCTGGATTCAGGAAAGTTTCCATTGAAGGCAAGGCTGTTTGCTGTTATGATTGCATTCTTTGTCCTGACAATGAGATTACTAATGAGACAGGTAAGCAGAAATCTTTTCTTTTTGGAATAAGTCTTCATTTTAAACAATTACCACATGTTGCTTCCCACAAACAAAGCTATCAAGACCTTTCTAACATAAAGGAAATGAGTTGTGAATGTTTTTCTTTCTTTTTTTACTTTATTACTTTAATTTTAAATACATTGCTTCACATATCAATCTCATTTCCCACTCCCTCTCCTCCTTCCACACAACCCCACCATTTCACACAGCCTCGCACGCTATCCCCATTTCCTTCCATATAGGTGATATCCAGATTCTGTCATTTCTCTCAGGCCAGGGTACAGTCACACCCCTAATAATCCAGGCTGAAAGATCATCTCTCTTTGTACTATGGACACACAAAGTACATTTGTATGCCAGGGATAAATGCTACTGCCCAGGGTCCCATAGGTTGCCCAGGCGTCCTCACTGACTCTCACACTCAGGGGGCCTGGATCTGTCCCATGCTGTCATCCCAGCTGTCAGTCTTGGGTCCAAGAGCTCCCCCTTGTCCAGATCAGCTGCCTCTGTTGGTTGACCAGCCCATTCTTTGCCAATTTGCTCATCACTCCTCTCTCTATGTCACTGGGTTCCATGGGTTCACTTCAGTGTTTAATTGTGGGTGTTTGCCTCTGCTTCCATCAGTCACTGGATAAAGGATCAAGGATGGCATATAAGGTAGACGTCAAGTTCATTATTAAGAATGGGTATTTTTATTTAGTCTCTCCACTATTGCTTACCTTGCCAGTTGGTGTCATTATTTTAGATTGCTTGAGGTCTCATTGGTGCCAGAACTCTCTTCCATCCTATAACTCCCTCTATTATGTTATTTCTCATCCTGTTCTCCCACTATTCTACCCCCATTCAACCTTCCTTTTCCCCCATGAGCTACTATCTCCTCCTCTTCTCCCCCTCTCTTCTTCCCACATCCCACCCCCTAAGCCTCCTGCCATGTTCCCAATCTGTTTAGGAGAACTTGACTCATTCCTCTTCTCGGGGTTACCATGCATATCTCTCTTAGTTTTTTCCTGTTTTCCAGACTCTCTGTCAGTGGAATTGCAGACTGTAACTATCCTGATCCATGTCTAAAATCCATATATGAGTGAGTAAATACCAAGTTTATATTTTTGTAACTAGGTTACCTCACTCAGTGTGGTTTCTTCTAGAGACTTCCATTTACTTGTGAATTTCTAGGTTCTATTGATGTTTTCACTGGGTAGTAGTCCAATGTGTAAATGTAACACAATTTCTCTATCCACTCTTCAGATGAGGGGCTTCGAGGTTGCTTCCAGATTCTAGCTATTACAAATAATGCTCCTATGAACATAGTGGAACAGATGACCTTGCTGTAAGAATTTGCATCTTTTGGATATATGCCTAAGAGTGGAATTGCTGGGTCTTTTGGTATATTGATTCCCATTTTCCTGAGGAATCTCCTTACTTATTTCCAAACTGGGTGTATGAGTTGGCACTCCCAACAGCAGTGGAGGAATGTTCCCCTCTCTCCACATCCTTTCCAGCATAAATTGTCTTTGGTGTTCTTGATTTTATCCATTCTGACAGGAATAAGATGTTATCTCAGAGTTGTTTTGATTTTTTTGATGGCTAAGGATGTTGAGAAAATTTATAAGTGTTTTTCAGGCATTTTATTCTTCCCTATTGAGAATTCTCTATTTAGTTCTGTGCACCAACTTTCAATATTTTGTGTTTTGGAGATTTGCTTCTTGAGTTCTCTGTAAATTTTGGACATCAGCCCTTTGTCAGATGTGGGGTTAGTGAATACCTTTTCCCATTCTGTGGGCTGCCCTTTTGTCTTGTTGACTGTGCCCTTTGCTTACAGAAGCTTCTTAGTTTCAGGAGGTCCCATTTGTGAATTGTCAATTACAGTGTCTGTGCTACTGGTGTTATATTCAGGAAGTGGTCTGTACCAATTCATTGAAGAGTATCTCCCAATTTCCCTTCTCAGACTTTCAGTGTGGTTATATTTATGTTGAGGTCTTTAATCCATTTATACTAAAGTTTTGTGTAAGGCAATAGACAGGGATCTATCTACAGTCCTCTGCATGTCAGTATCCAGTTATGCCAGCACCATTTGTTGAGATGCTTCCTTTTTTCTATTGTATAATTTTAGCTTCTTTGTCAAAAATCAAGTGTTCATATGTGTGTGGGTTAAAATCAGGGTTTTCAATTCTATTTGATATGTCTTCCTGTCTATTTTGGTGCCAATACCAAGCTGTTTTCAGGACCACAGCTCTGTAATAGAGCTTGAATTCACATATGGTGATGCCTTGTGAAGTTCCTTTATTTTATTGGGTTGTTTTGGCTATCCTGGGTTTTTGTTTTTCCATATAAAGTTGATTATTGTTCTTTCAAGGCCTGTGAAGTAGTGTGCCGGAATTTTGCTAGGAATTGCATTGAATTGTGATGAGTTTCTCTCGTTTCTCTCCATTTAGATTGATGTTAGCTGTTGGTTTACTGTATATTGCTTTTATTATGTTCAGCCATGTTCCTGTTATCCCTGATCCCTCTAGGACCTTTATCATGAAGGGGTGCTGATTTTTTCAAAGGCTTTTTCAGAACCTAGTTAGATGATCATGTGTTTTTTTGCAGTTTGTTTATATGCTGGATTGCATTGGTAGATTTTCTTGGATCTGATTTGCCAGTATTTCATTTAGTATTTTTGCATTAATATTCATGAGGGAAATTGGTATGTAGTTCTCTTTCTTAGTCGTGTCTTTGTGTAGCTTGGATACCAAAGTAATTGTATCAATCATATAAAGAATGTGGCAGTGAGCCTCGCATTTCTGTTGTGTGGAACGTTTTGAGGAGTATTGGAATTAGCTGTTCTTTGTATTTCTGTAGAATTCTGCACAACAGCCATCTAGGTCTGTGATTCTTTTGGTCGTGAGACTTTTGAAGATTGCGGAAATTTCATTAAGGCTTATAGGTCTGTTTAGACTTTTTATCTGTTATTGATTTAGTTTTAGCAAATGATATCTATCTAGGAAATTGTCCATTTCCTGTAAATTTTTGAATTTTGTGGATTACAGATTTTCAAAGTATGCCCTGTGGATTCGCTGGATTTCCTCAGTGTCCCTTGTTACATCTCCCATTTCATTTCTGATATTGTTAATTAGCATGCTCTCTCTCTCTGCCTTTTGCTTATTTTGGACAAAGGTTTGTCTATCTTGTTGACTTCCTCAAAGAACCAACTCCTTGTTTCAATGATTCTTTGCAATGTTTTCCTGCTTTCTACTTGATTGGTTTCAGCCCTCAACTTGATTATTTTCAGGCATCTACTCTACCTTGGTGAATTTTCTTCTTGTTCTAGAGATTCAGGTCAGCTATTAATTCTCTAGTGTGACTGTTCTCCAGTTTCCTCATGTAGGCACTTAGTGCTGTGACCTTTCCACTCAACACTGCATTCAGAGTGTCTCATAAGTTTGAACATGCTGTGTCTTCATTCTCATTGAATTCCAGAAAGGCTTTAATTTCTTTTTTATTTCTTCCTTTACCCAGGGATGGGACAATTGTGCATTGTTTAATTTCCTTGAGTTTGTAGGGTTTCTGCCACTTGTGTTATTCTAATTTTAATGCATGGTGGTCTGATAAGATACAGGGGGTTATTCCAATTCTTTGTATCTGTCGAGGTTTGCTATGTTTCCTATTATGTGGTTGATTTTAGTGAAGCTTCCATGTGGCATTGAGAAGAAAGTGTTTAGTTGGAATGTTCGATAGACTTCTGTTCAGCCCAGTTGGGTCATAACATCTATTAATTCTTTTGTTTCTTTGTTAAGCCTCCGTCTGGAGGTCCTGGCTAATGGTGAGAGCATAGTGTTGAAGTCTCCTACTACTAGTTTCTGAGATTTTATGTGCAATTTCATCTTTAGTAATGCTTATTTCACGAATGTGGGTGTCATTGTATTTGGGGCACAGATGTTCAAAATTGAGACTTCCTCTTCATGGACCTTTCCTATGATAAATATGAAATGTTGTGCTTCATCTCTTTTGATTGATTTTAATGTGAAGTCTAATTTGATAGATATTAGCAATGTTACACCAGCTTGCTTCTTGTGTCCATTTAATAGGAAAATATTTTAGCAACAATTTACTCTGAGGTAACATCTGTCTTTGATGTTGAAATATGCTTCTTGTTTGCAGCAGAAGGATGTGTTCTGTCTTTCCACCCTTTATGCTAGTCTGTGTCTTTTTATAGGCAAGTTGAGACCATTGACATTGAGGCATATTAGTGACCATCGATTGACGATTCTTGTTTGTCCTTGATATATTGCTAGTGCTGTTATTGTGTGTAGGTTCTCCTCTATTTTTCTTTTGGTGTTTCGAAAAGTGGGAATATCAATTGCCTATGTCTTTGTGACTGTAGTCATCTTGGTTGGGCCTAGGTTGTCCTTGCAGCACTTTCTTCACAGCTGGATTCATGGATAAATCTGGCTTTGTCATGGAATAATTTGTTTTCTCCATCTATGGTAATTGAAAGCTTTTTTTAGATATAGTAGTCTGGGCTGGATTCCTTGTTTCCTTAGCGTTTGTAAGACATCTATCCAGGATCGTCTGGCTTTCATAGTTTCCATTTAGAAGTTGGGTATAATTTGGATAGGTCTGCCTTCATAAGTTACTTTGCCATTCTCTTTACCTGCTCTTAATGTTTTCTCTTTATTCTGTTGGTTAATGTTTTCAATATTGTATGGCGAGGTGACTTCTATTTCTGTCGAGCATACTTTGTGTTTTGTAAGATTCTTGTATTTTCATAGGCATATCCTTCTTATATCCTACTTTATTTTAGGGAAGTTTAATTCTATGATTTTGTTGTACATGTTTTCTGTACATTTGAGCTGTATTTCTTTATATATATGTATATATATATGTATGTATATATATTATATTTAAATTTAAATTAGAAACAAGGTTGCTTCCAATGTGAATTCCAGATCCCTCTCCCTTTCCCTCCCCTCCTCCAGTGATCTCACACCAACGCCCCC